TTTTCATCGTATCTGATGCTTACTTTCCTTTCACCAAATGTGGAATATATTCTACAAGGCGTGACGAATGTCACGCGGTGCCATAAATTCCTCCCCCTACCCCGCATCCACCATATCAGTGGGATAGGTGACATTAAGATAGATGGTGAGTTCACCCATGCCCCCTGCTGGCCTGTAAAGAAGACTTCTGCCCTGCGAAGCTCCGTGATGTAGTAATATGCTCTTTGTTCTCATTTCCCACTAACTGTAATGCATGGATGTGCCAAAGCTGGTGCACTGGACTAGCTAGCATAATCCAGATACTGGCAGTCAGACCCCTTCATGATACCATTATGGCCCGCTTGTGACCTGCTTTATTATAGTAAAATAAGTCACATGGATGATTCAGTCTGACTTGTTTGAGCGCACGCTTTGTATTCAGAACATTGATGTGATCATTGCGTTTCTTTTCCTAATCCCTGCACTTTCTGACCTAGGACATTTTGTTCTGAACGTCGGCAAACAGCGATGCTTCCGGGCTTTTCACTTACCATTACCGTTTAAAATAAAGATCGTTCGCACAAAAATACTCGTACATTCACCGCTCTTTGCCTTCTTATGTTTCGACGTCTGCCGTTTTGAACACACACACACACACACACACACACACACACACACACACACACACACACACACACACACACACACACACACACACACACACACACACACACACACACACACACACACACACACACACACACACACACGCACACGCACACGCACACGCACACGCACACGCACACGCACACGCACACGCACACGCACACCACACGCACACACCACACACACACACACACACACACACACACACACACACACACACACACACACACACACACATATATATATATATATATATATATATATATATATATATATATATATATATATATATATATATACATGTATTTCTATTTATACAATATGTAGGGAGTTTTTCACTTTTTACGGGGGTTTACCTAGAATAGCAGAATATATATATATATATATATATATATATATATATATATATATATATATGTATGCATGTAGCATGAATATAATATATACATATATATTGGAATGTCTCGGTAGAATTCTTTCTTTTATGCATGTTCGGTTAAAAATGACCGCTGACTGAGCATTCACGAGCTTGATTATGCATCGTTATAGTTTCCGGGCTCTTGACTTAGCATTATCATTTTGGTTAAAGATGGTGCGCTTAAAACCCCTCCTATATGTGTCGCTCCATACATTCTTGCGTTTCGAAATCTCATCTCATCGTCGGAGAAGACTGAATGACGCATGAAATAAGGTTTGTAAGTAAGTTTGATATATATGGTTGCATTATGTTTAATACGTTTTAGGGAGTGTTCCACATTTACATAGAGTTTTGAACTAAAATAGTCATCTTAAAGACCTTTTGGTGCCGTTCACAACCCTGCCCTCTTTAAGACATAGCCCCTCTAGTTTCTGAGCTATGCGCCAGCAAAAATGGTAAAAGGGATATCGGGGAGAGTATTTCAAAATTACGTTGGTATTCATGAATTCATGCCATACAAATCCTGCCATTTCGTAAGCCATGCAGCGATCAAGTCAAGACAATTCAGTTGTAGGGGCTCTCATATCTGGCGTACGTGAGCGTGATTTCCAGTTATAACAACCGTCAGTTGGCTCTCAAATAATGTTGTTCAAGGTACAATGATGTAATGAAACGATAACGCATTGAAGAGCATATTTACTAAAGAGGGAATTGTGCTGTCTAGAGCAGTCTTTTCCACTTAAAAAGCGTGCCGCTAGTGGTAAATGAGCTTGTTTTATCGTATCTGATGCTTGCTTTAATATATTCCAATGTGAACCATTTCCTTTAATATTGGACACAATATTTGAACGATACGTGTGCATAGCCCAAACAGTTTTGGTCTAGACCACAGAATGCTGCACTCCACACCGGCTTAAAAAGGTAAAGCTAGCCGCTTTTGATCCGGTTATTGACGCACCTATCTAATGGGCAGTGTTCAGATGGTCCAGTCGTTCATAGCTGGGTGATAAATACGGGGATAGCAGACGTACAAAGAATTTCAGTACCCAAAAATTGCAATATTAAACTAAACATATCCTATATATGCAATGCATGATGCATTTCTAGTTTGTGCTTACTGGTTGAGTGCCGATAACTGACGGTTACGTGGTGCAGGTGCCACAGTAGTGAATGCATGTAACATTTTAATGAATGTTTGTCCAGACCTTTTGCAAGAAACTTTCAACGAGTTGTGCACTACATGGCACTGATGGCTGATGGTTAACAAGCTATTGTATTCCATAGGGAAGTGACGTCACCCACCTTTCGATTCTTAATTGTCATCGATTTAGCCACTGAGAGTACGGGACATTCCACGAAAGTCGGAAAATTAATGGCGTACCGTGTATAAAACTCTGACCTGGTACATCGTGGGGTTTGGGCCTCTTTAGAAAAAAAAATGGGCAGCGGATCGGCGCAGAGCCATTAAACAATCTTTTGTTTGGCGCCAGTTTCAATCCAATTGACCGGATCAAATTCAATTTACAGTTCTGTAAAAGCAGGCCGTTTACGTGTGAACCCCAAGGACTAGTAAGAAAACCACACAGTAGAGTGGTTATGCTACCAACATACTTGGGTGGGGCTGGTTTTTGAAGTGCGCATTCATCACGGTTGCGTTGTGTGTTTCGGGTCTTTAAGGTGTTTCAGTGTTTGAAACCTGATATTAATCTCACAAAGATCCCGGTCAAGACAGGCAGGGTCTGTGTTTCTAGTTCAGAAAAGAGTAACCGGCAAAAATCGCCAACCAGCACTTTGCCAACGCGCACGTGCTCTCTTCACCAGGCCTCCGCCGAGTGACGTCGGTTTGATAACACTGCGGTGAGCGAGTCACGTGGCTCTGAGAGCTGCTCTGGACGGTCTGTATCGCAAGGATGCATGACATTGGCATTCTGAGACGCATTTAGTCATTGTATCCCCGTCGTCTTCTTGTTTTATTGACTTTTAAGGTATGGGTAATAGGATAATTGAACACCATTAATGACCAATGCATTTCCTGAAGGGCATCCAAAATTTGAGGTTTCTTTAGAAAAAGGTGGAGTACGAGTGCAAATTACCCTAACAGACATTGTGCTATGAAACTAATTGTCCACGCAGAAAGGGGTAACAACAAATGTTTCATTCGGAGTCAGGCTCCTGTGAGGTCAAGACTTGGTGTTGTCCACAGCAATGTTATAACGCATGCAATGTGTTAATATAATCGGTGCACCTTCAAAGTCATTTAAACTTAGGACCATTTCAAATATGTTACGCAATCAAGTTGTATGGTTGTCCACTTTAAGATGGTTGATGATCAGGACGTTTTCAAATTTAATTACAAATGTCTAAATCTTATCAGGGCCTTCGTGCTAAGAAGCTTAATGCTTGTGTTCTTGCCATGACAAGACGATTCGGAAATTCGACGATTGCAAGCACACTACTGCTATCTCATGTTGTGCGAGAGGATTATGTTCATCGACGAGCTTGTCGAAAGAAGAAAAGCTTGCCCTAGGTCCCGCACAGAGCATGAATAGCGCGCAAAAATGCACGGCGCGACTCATGCCATCAACCAGCTGGTGGCGGCCGACCAGGTGGTCGCAAGCCCGGGCAGGGTCCATGATCGAATACACCGGTACCTGCGCCGCGTGGGTACAGACCCGAAACTGGCGGAAAGGTAGAGGGGTCGCCTACATCAAAACGCTGCATGCTGTCACATGGCGCCAACTGCGGGCGACCTTCGCTGGGATCACTTCGCAACGCTGCACTCATTGGGCCAACTAATCACTCTGGTCTGTACGCAGTCGACAGATCACCTGGAGGTGCACGCAGACTGCTTATGCGGAATGTTTCAGGTTTTGTTGGTGGCCGCCTTGTGCGTCTCCGTCAGCCGGACCAGCGCCCAATGCGACTGCCGGCCACGAGCCTTCTGCACTGGAGCGTACCGACAAAGGAATGTACAGCAGTGCTGGCTGCAAGACCGAACCCTGGGTGTTTGTTGCGGCCAGTCATCCTCTTTTACTTTCACTGGCAGAAGCTCCACCACCAAGCAAAGGCCTATCACCTTCCCTGCTGTCAGTCAGGGGGCCTTGCCACCTGGCGGCAGACTGTATGGGGCCCCGCCACGCGGCAGGCGGAAGGCCGCGTCCAGTCAGCCAAGTTCAGTGTATTCCGTTGGTGCTATGCCCGCCAACGGCAGTCTCGCCCTCCAACCTGCTGCGAAACGGCTGCCGGCTACGCGACGGCTCTCCCGGCACCGTCTGTACATTCGCTGGGCCGCAGCTAGCGACCAGTGGGCTCCAGAGACAGCAGGTTTCTGGCGGGGACCTACTTCAGCAGCGGCAGATGGGGACCGATGGCGCGCGCTCTGCACTGGACCAGATTCGACCGATGCCGTCCAGCACGACCAGCTCCGCTGACAGTGCGTTCGTAGCTGATGGGCTGTCGCAGGGAGCACTGTTCCAGGCGGGGCAGGCTGGCCTCCAGGCGGTCAACAGCCTCACCTCCACCACTTCTCAACTGCTTAACCACCGGCCAGGCGCCCAACGTAAACAGCCCGACGGCGCTGTTCTTCCTAAACGCTCAGTCTAGCGATCTGGAGCAGAACCTGGGACTGCAGGGGCTTCAGTCGCCTCACGTCGTTGAGCAACCTGCAGAGCCAGCTCGGGGGCCGCATCGAGCCAGTGCAGGGGTTAGGCGGCCCAGTCCGCCGGTACTAGTAGCGTTGGGTAGCAGCCGGTGGTGGCGGCCAATCGCCGTTGCAAGTGCCAAACTGCCACCCCCGAAGGACCCGTCAGGTGCGACAACAGTATTTACCGCACCCTAACCGGCGAGTGCAACAATCTGCAGCGGCCGCGGCTCGGTCGAGCACTGACCGGTCTCAACGCGACTTCTCCCCAACACGTACGACGACGGTCTGTTCGCCATGCGAACGGAGCAGTCCGCGGCGGCACACTGCCCAGTGCGCGGCTGGAGCGAGCGCGTGCTGGATACGTTGTCCAACGAGCTTAATGATTTCACACTGTCGCTGATGCAGTTCAGCCAGTTCGTCGACCACGATCTGTCGCACGCATTGGTGTTCCGTCTTAATTCTGGCAACGGCATCGAGTGCTGCGAGAACGACGGTCAGACATTCCCGACGGTGCCCCGGCACCCCCAGTGCATCCCCATCCCCATTCCGGCCGATGACCCGTTCTACAGCCAGTTCGGCCAACGCTGCATGAGTCTGGTGAGATCCCTGCCGGCGCCGCTGCCAGACTGCATCTCGAGGCCAGGCCAACCGCTCAACGAACTCAGCTCCTTCCTGGACGCGTCCAACATATACGGCAGCCAAGTGGAGGAGCTGAATGCGATACGCGCCTTCCAGGACGGCTTGATGCTTACCAGTCCGGGTGAGCTGCTGCCATTGACGGGTGCAGATGTCTCGGACAGACCGTGTCGTGCTTCCATCTGCTTCCGAGCTGGCGAAACGCGCGTGAACGAGCAGAGTGGTCTGGCCGTCATGCACACGGTGTTCGTGCGCGAGCACAACCGGATCGCACGCGGGCTCAAGAACGTCCACCCCTTCTGGGACGACGAGCGCCTGTTCCAGAACGCCAGACGAATTGTGGCGGCCGAATGGCAGCACATCCTCTACAACGAATGGCTGCCGATTGTCGTCGGCTTCGAGTATGCCGATGCGCACGGTCTTCTGCCTCTGCAGTCCGGATTCTCCAACTATTATGACCCGAACATAGATCCCAGCATCTCTAACTCGTTCGCTTCTGCTGCTTTCCGATTCGGTCACAACATGGTGCGAGACATGTATGACCTGATAGACGCCAACGGTCAGGTGTTCCAGGTGGTCAACGTCTCCACGACCTTTTTTGAGCCGACTGTGGTGGCACAGAGCTTGGTGGGACATGCCCGCACCCTAGTCGCCCGTCGTTCGGAAACTTCCGATACAAACATGGCACCTGCCATTCACGAAATGCTCTTCACTACCAATTTCCTGTTTGGTTTAGACCTTCTCTCCCTGAACATTCAGCGAGGTCGAGATCACGGAACTCCGACGTACGCTCAGGTGCTAGATGCTTGTGGTATTGCGAGGGTACAGTTCTGGGGCGACCTCAACCGTGTGATGGACTCTCAGGTCATTGACCGGCTGCGGTCTGTTTACGATGATCCACGAGACGTGGACCTTTTCATCGGTGGGGCGATAGAGCGGCGAGCCCCTGGCGCCCAGGTGGGACCCACCTTCCAGTGCCTGGTCGGGCAGCAGTTCTTCGACCTACGGTTTGGAGACCGTTTCTTCTACGACAACGGCGGCTTTGCGCACAGTTTCACACCCGCACAGCTGGCGGAGATCAGGAAGAGTAGCTGGGCGCGAATTATGTGTGACACCCTCGGTCCTCAATTTGGAAATGACTTCACCAGGGTTCAGCCATTAGGTTTTTTGACGACTCTCGGCCAGAACCAGGTAACTCAATGCAATTCACTGGCGATTCCTATCGTTGACCTCGGGGTGTTCTAACGGGGTGATGTAATGCGCTGTTGCAAACCCTGTAAGCATGCTGTCAACCAATTTGTTGTGTGGTCGCTGATTTATAAAGTCAGCGTGGCTGTCAATACCAGAATGCCGCTGTAGGAGAGTATCAGGTTCGTGTAAAATCATGTTATGCCATGCAAGCCCAAAAATCTCGAATTGTCCTACTTTGCATTCAAATGTGTTTCATAGATCTAAACTGGCTGCAGCTGTGAGCCAAGGACGGATTTTGTATTTATGCCTCTAAAGAGCTTGTTTCGTTTGCACGGGTTGTGTTCTCATAATGTATGCTAATCATAGCTATTTGGAATACGTTAGACAAGAAAGGTGTCAGGTCCTTAAATGCGGAACGGTGTTACACGTTACGTCCAGCTCGTTACACCGAGTGTAGTGCGGAAGCAGCCCGGCGCCGTAAGATGACCTACCGCTGGGCCTCATGTCGAGGGCGGCTTTCAATATGCCTGCCTGAAGCACCACTTCGCCTCACAGTGGTATTGGACTGAACGCACGTTGTATGGTGTGGATAATAAACGGTGGTTTTTTGTTTCGTAGTTTTATTCTGCTGCCTATGAATGATGGAAATAAAATATCCCGCATCAGAACTCCCGCAACATTTTATCGTTCCGTGCGCTGGCAATGCATCTCTTAACCAGTCAAATCCCACACTATGATCCAGCCAAAGAGAAAAGCATTCGAGAAGCCGGGTGCTTGTAAAAGATACTACCAAATCTGCCAGATCGGATGTGCTGCATTTGGCGAGGGTTCATTTGAAGAAGAAAAAACAATGTAAAAGCCAGCGATAATCGACTACGGCCAGTTACAAATAACGAAAGTAATGGTACCCCAGGGGCCAGTTTAGCGTCAAAAGAAGTGTTGACAGATAAAATCGACCGCTCCACTTCACTCATGATGTTCTCCGATCAAAGCACAGACACGTTTCAACCAGTACACAAAACCCCGCACACACGCACGCATGCACACAGACACACACACACACACACACACACCTACACACACACACACACACACACACACACACAACCACACACCACACATATATATATATATATATATATATATTATAATATATATATATATATATAGCAGACAGTAACTTTACACACTGTGCACCTTTTCTTCCATGCCTTTAAAAAATTTCGTTGAAACCCATTTGAGGTCACCGGAAAATAATCGTGAATTCGTTACTGATTCCAGGCGCTGGTTTATTTGTTTATTTATGTTGCTGTTTAAGTGTTTATTTTTGCATTCATTTATATATTTAGTTATTCATGCATGCATACATGCTTATACCGAGAGTTTCTGAAACAAACGGACTTCCTCTTGGAAGTTCGCTTCTTACAAGAAGCAAACTCACAATTCATACTCTTTTCTCAACGCTATTTCACTGCTTATTTATTTCGCGTCTAAAGCATTCTTGAGACTATGTTGCGTACTACCGTATGCGCTAGACGAGAAAGCAAAACTATTGAAATAATCCTCCGAGAAGAATTGGCAATACTCAGTCAAAGGAATTCCAACAGCAGTTTAAACCACAAAACGCGCCACCAAGAAAACGCCATTTTGCACAATGCGCAAAGGGTTTTTGCAAACGGCAGTCGGCAGTTTTGCAAACGGCAAGACCCAACTGGTGAGATCAGCTCGAGGAAACGATTCAAAAGAGGCCCGACCCGGAGATGGCGAAAGCAAGTGAGATCGTGCTGTGCTGGCCTACAGATATCGCCGTCGGCTCGCATACGGATAGGCTGCAGCGAGACCACCGCCTTCAAGCTGGCAAGGTAAGAGACCAGTCTGCTCCCATGCAAAGTTAGTTCACGTCGGAAGTTCCCACCAACCGCTCTTGACACGTACGTGTGCTACAGTGTCTCGTTCCTACGCCAGTGCGAATTAGTATGTTGTTTGTAAGCCAGATGGGTGTAGGGTTTAACGATGAGGTTCACTTTCATTTAGAGGTTAACCGAGAGCCAAAAGTATCGTTTTCGGCCTACCAAGACTCCCGTTTAGATTAACAAAGCATCATTGTATAGTGCGACGCACACTTCCAGGGGCGCGATCATGCCATATCGCGCAATTGTCTCCTGTTGTTGTCAGGACAGCCGACGGACCTCGCTTACCACAGCGGACAGACGATACAAGGCAGTCCTTCACATGCTTTTGGGCAGGTTTTAAAGAAGTCTGCGGTGAATGCCTCTTATGTCAGTGATTTCAGTAAAACAGTGCGACGGCGCAT